TCTAATCTATATATTAGGTTACTATATAATAAAAAGAATAAAGACTATCTTATAGCTATAAATATCTTACGTAAGTTACTTATTTTAAGTTTAGTATATAGTAATCTAAGCCTATATAACACTCTCTATATAATATCTATTATCTATCTTCTAGATATATTAACTTGTATTTAGCTATATACCTATAATAGAACTAATTATATTAATCTCTAGTTAGGTATTTACTTTAGTAGTTAGAGACTATAAATAATTTAGAATAACTATAATTTAAAGCTATTAGAAACTATATCTTACTTTATAGTATATAAATATACTATAGAGATATTCTAATACGTACGCAACGCTAGAAGATAGAATTATTCTCTACTTATAAACTTTAACTTTATCTACTACTAATCTTAGCTAGCTAACTTTAAGCTTATTCTTAGAACTAAGTAAGAGAAGCTAAAGTGTTAAGTATTTATGCAATATAAATATAATAGTTAGAATTACGCCTATAGAAGTAAGCTAACAAAAGTTAGTATTACTAGAACTAGAGATAATAGTAGAATTAGCTAGTATTTTAATCTCTTTAAGTAGTATATTATTTATATATATAAAACTCTTCTATATTAATTACTTTTAGGTTTAACTTCTTCTTTTACTAGTTTACCTACTAAAATTATAGTACTAGAATTTCTTTGTCTAAGTTCTTTTTTATACTAGAAAAGAATATACTTACGTACTTCTACACTATAATAAGTAAATATAACACTTTTAAAGATATTAATCTAAAATACTATCTTATAATAGATCTCTTTAGTTATTAGATTAAGAAGGTCTTTAATATTATTATATAGAACTATTCTACTTAGAAGCTAGATTATTACTTTCTATAAGATAATTTATATTACTATAACTTACTAGTTATACTATCTAACTAAGTCTAGCTATTATATTAAAGGCAGACTTAGCTATAAGTGTAAGAGTAGATATATAGTAAATTCTTTAGAGCTATCTTATTATAGTGTACTTATACTATATCTAGGCTTATTATTATACTATTTTAGAATTATTCTATAGATAACTTTAGGTTCTATTAGTATTATTAGACTAAAGATAAATAAGATACGTTTTATACGTATAGATACGCGCTATACTTTTTATATAATCTACTATAAGATATACTATTAGTACTACTTTATCTTTTTATATAAGACTAAGAAAGTATATTCTATAGTCTAAGCTTTACTTTACCTAAATTCTAGCGCTTAAATGCTTATTCTATTCTAAAGCTTCTTTTATTTAATATATTAGAAGATAAAGGCTATAACTTATATAGTTTTCTACTAGTAGTTCTATCTAATAATATTAGTCTAATGTATTATTAACGTAAATAGCACTAAAAGAACTTAGTAATTAATAAGAAGAAGGCGTATACTAGTAGAGTTAGCTTACTTACTAAATAACTCTATACTAGCTTTATTACGCTAGATTATACTATTTTAAGTAGTAGTTCTTTTATCTACAAGATAGGTAGTAGCTAGAACGTAATATAGAAACTTCTTACTAATTTTACAAGTATAAAAGAGTTTACGTATCTACTTAATTAAAAGTATTAACTAAAGTATTATTAGACTATAGTATAAGAAGTGCACTAAGTACTTACTAATAAGCACGCATGTATAAACGCTAAAGAATAATATATAGATAATAATAAACTTTAATCTCTACTCTTCTATATCTTACGCCTATAAATAGATATTATATAAATAAACTATAGTACTAAAGTAATTCTTAGCTAAATATTATTATAACTTTTGTTAGTAGTTACCTAAGTACTCTTGTAAATATTGCGTAGTACTTATTATTAAAACTATACTACTATCTTAGTATTAATAGCAGAAAAGCGCGCAGAATAGAACACGCATCTTGCACTACATGTGTTAAGATAAGAGGCACTTTGTACCGCCACCTTGATAACTGATTACGGAACGAGTGGAAGGTATAGAAGGATGCTACTTGAAGGCACCAGTGAATCGCAGACGCTCGACATCCAGCGCGCACATTGCGCAAATATTGTCAGCGAATGTATTCGCCGAGCGAACTTCGCCAGCTCTTTTCTCGCCAGATCCTCAAACAGCCTCTTCACACAACGATGCTACGCAGCCCTCGCTTCAATCTGAACGACGACACAGCACTGCTTCATCGTCAAGCATGCCTGTCGTCCCATCTGTGGGTCCACCACGCAAGTCAGCTCTGAAAACCCCATTCGCTGCCACTATGCCAATGAGCTGTTCCATCACCCGCAATGCGCCGTTCAGCACAGCTTGGCCAACATCTCGAACAGGTATCGGCGGAACTATGGCATCGACACCGATGACATCACCAGTCCCAGACATCGCTTCCACGTATTTGATCCCAGCTCGCACGCGTAGCCTCGCAGCTACGAGGCAGCAAGACCAGGCCACAAGTTCGCTCAGAACGCCTTCACACTCGCGCAACGTGAGTGGAAGCAGTATCCGTACCGTGATCCGTTCCTGAAAACCTGGCGAGGGGTAAGGGTAGATAGCTAGGTATGGATAACGTTTGGAGGGTGGGAGGTATTAGTATATGCAGAGCTAAAACATCGATATCTGGTCCTGGTGGTTACGCATGGTCTTGTTATGGCCCCTCAGTCTAGAGTTCATGGAGCCATCAGCTTCAAACTAGGTACTGCTGAACAATTATGGTAATTACGTTAAGAACGTGGATCTCGTTGCACATCACACACTGTATCGTGTATTCTCCATTGCCGGCGTGATGGCTGCTTCATTCGCCGCGCCGAGTGGAGCCATGTCGAATGAGGAAATGATCCGCGTGTCTCACGCGTTGCGCCTCAACGCGCTTGCGCTGCACATCTGCGCAACTGCATTCTCGAGTAAAGTCCATTCATATCCTCTTGCTCTTATTGAAATCACACGTCCGATGACGTTTTGCAGATGGAGGTACTACCTTGCCCCATGAGGAACAGCAAGGCCGATGAGCTTCACATGGGGTCGAGAGCCATGTGGAGTGTCACTAGTCATTGTGCAGAGCACCCATGGTGAACTATACATTTCTACTCAGGATCGTTGAGCTAATATAGATCAGATGATATTCTTAGGTTCTTCTCGGCTATATCACTCGTCAACGCTACCAGAGGATGTGGCCACCGGTTTTCCCTTCAACCCGACTTCAGCGATCGACCGGACACATCCAGGACGATAGGGGATACGTTCATGTCATGAAAAGTAGCGCAGTCCGCGCAGCAAGATGTGGAAATTGTTCTTGCTAAGAGCCCAGTTTGAGGGTGCTTTCCCCGACCACCGCGTCGTGCATGTAACGGGCGCCACGTTCCCAACTCACCACGGACTCAACAAATATTTTAAAGACTGACCATATGCACTTCCCGTTTCCATTACTTGGGTAAATTCTCCGCATTGTCGCACCGTGCGTCACCCTCGTTTCCTTATCCCGAGTCTGCTCAATATGACTTTGGTACCAAACGGCTGCGCCAACTTCCACGTTCACTTTCACTTTGACTACAACGCTCAATCTAGGACGTCTTAGCTCAGCTAGCGTGACGTGAAATTAATTGTGTATCCGCTCGCTAGGCTGCTCTACCTTTCGTTCCCTTCTGTGCTCCTACTCCACTGTTGCGACAATACCCAGCAACGCACGTCAGCACATCAGCTTCCCACTTTACCTAAACATCTCGGCATCTTTCAACATGGCTCGTGTCAAAGTAGCACCAAAGAAGGCGTATGAAGAGCCTCGTATCGACTCAGGCGCAGCGCTCTCAGACCCTGCCGTACCCTCCGATGGACCCGCGCCGAATGGGTAAGCGTGTGTTCACAAGATACCAGACAGACCAAGCTAAGAATATCAATAGCACTCTCGTAATGCCCATCCTCCTAAAGACGGATTGGGACCTCGGTACTCCCAAGGCTCGCCTCCGTAGAAATGATCTCCAGCTGCGCCAACCGAAGGGCTTTCCCATTAAACCACTCAAGATCACACTCGACCGCGCTCGCAAAGAGGCAGCAATGAAGGCTCTAGCTAAGGATTGTGTCGATTCAGACTTTGAAGCCTACGAGGAGTTTGAAAAGGTTGGCGAGGTCAAGAAACAAATCGAGGTTGAAGGGAAAGATGATGATGAGGAAGCGGAAGATACAGCAGATGAAGAATTAGAGGGTTCCGTGTACGACAGTGCGGACGGCAGCGCGAATGACAGCGACGATTCCTACGAGCTTCCAGCTACCAGAGTTGTCACCGAGAAGTCTGCTGCGCTTGTCGACAGTCGCGGACGGACTCGAGCAGCTACAAATCGACGCAAGGCTCAAGAGGTATCTGATGCCACCTGTCAGACGAGCGTCTAAAATGAGATGGGGAGAACGCGACAGTGGACGAGAAGGAGCGCATACGAAATGATAAGCGGGCGATGAAGAAGTCAATTTGAGGCTCGAAGTCGCGTCTTGGGAAGTTCGCTGCATTGCGCGGCAGAACACGCATGTAGGCGATGTGGCTCGGATGTATCTCGGCATGTAAGCACTGGCGGACATCTTGGATGGGCTCGGCATCTTAGTAACCAATGATGTTACAGCAGGAGCAATTACCATATCAATGTGTCTTTAGTATTGTGCGATCTGTCAAAGCATTCACTGGAATGCAATGATGAGTGTGCCTTGCAAACGCCCTGCTTGGCGCGAATAGGCCGAAATCCGGCATCAAACGCTAACCGAATGCGGATCTCAAGCTTCGCAACCACGTGTGAGCGCGTATGCGAAACCCTGGGAGAGTCCGCTGCAGCCCCTCCATTACCCACACAGCTGCCTCCCCCAACTACTTGACGAGTGCTTCGCACCCCTTCCCGCTGTTGTCTCTTACTCACTTTTAAGCCCAACCCCACCATTCCGCCAACAACCCGTGGACACTTCAAGACCATTGCGATAGGAGCGGACGGTAGCTGTATCAGCGCGCTATCTTCTGCTTCTGTCAAAATGACCGCCGAAGCCCAGAAACTGCTTCTAAAAGAATGGGCCAAGGACACCGATCATCTCGTTGATGACAACAATTCACCCAAAGCCGAGTTCGCGCGCCTGGCAAAGGCAAAGGGATGGACCGGCGGGGATACCGAATGGTGTTATCACTGGAAAGCGTGTTTTGATGAGACATACACATGGGGAGTTCGTCGTAAGTTCAGCTCGCTCCGCTTGATGCGTCTTTGATGATGCGAGGAAGTTGGAAAGGCGGTGTCGAGGAAACCATTACTAATGCATGGCATCAGATAAGTCAACAACAGCCGATACGACTGTTCACAAGAACGTGACTGCTCAAGCTGGTGGAATCGATCTCACGGACCGCATGCGAAGTCTCTCTATTGGTTCCGATACCTCGTCTTTCTCGGTCATCTCACGTACGTCGGCGAATTCTTTCGAAAGTGTGAGGTCGATCAACAGCGACCAGTCACACGAAGCTGAAGGATTTTCCACCAGTCCAAAACATCCACCGAACACAGAAGTCTCGGATAGCACCGACTTACAAAACAGTGTACTATCTCTTGATACGGTCAAGTCCCTGGAGGAGATCTCTGGGGGCGTTGAGATCCCGGACACGGCTTCAGAACACAGCGATGCTGAGTCAGAGGCTTCATCGCTAGAGTTGGACGAAAACCCAGCGTGGAGTGAATACACCAACTTCGTGCACCGCCCAGATGCGTCCTTTCAGTCAGAGTTCGAACGTCTAGCTCGCACCAAAGGTTGGGTGGGACGTATCAAACGCCAGCACCTAGTCGAGCTGCTCACTAGCGAGGTTGAGTTCTACTGGGGTGCGGACGACGTTGACAAGCTTGAATACTACCAGTTCCTATGTCAGGAGATGGGCGTCAAGCAGATCCCTTTGACTATTACCCAGGCGAAGAACGTAAGCACATCATCTATGAGCCCACACAAAAGTACGCCGCTGACAATATATAGGCGCTTCGGCCTCTCAAAGTCAACCTTTACAGCGTTATCGACCACATGCGCAATCCCGAGATCAAGGTCATCACATACAAGACTATCCGCGAGCTTCGCCAAAGCGTCCGCAAGAAGGGCACCTTTCCGAGGCAATGTGCTAAGGCTGGTGAAGGCTGCATGGCCGCTTTGCTGTCCAAGTTGTAGTTGCATTGATCTATCTGGATTTCCAAGGGTAATCAGACATGCGTGTGGCTTCTCACATCTAGGCATTTCATGGTACATCTGATTCTGGGAACAAGATGGTGCTCGCGATGGTATGCAGCCTCTCGTTGGAGTGACGACCAAACGTCATAAACTCTGCACATGGCTACCGTTCTCCTCCAATCAATCGGAATAATTTTGAAAATTCATCTCGTTCTGCAGTGACAAAACGTTGTGTGTAGAAGCTTCTCGCATTTCTATCATGCCAATCACGTGCCTTCACCGTTCACCGATCTTGAGGTGTCGCTCAATCTTCACCGCTCACGCACTCTGTTAGTACGCTTTTGGTAGATATCTTGCCCTTCTTTTTGGTCCACCTCTTTGACTTCCTCTAAGTCACGACACACCCCGCAGCCGCCAGCGCAAGTGACTACGACAGCAACTCACCATGGCTTCGAAAGTAATCGCTTCAGATGCCCAGAAGTCGCTGTTTCGCAACTGGGCGCAGGACAGCGTCTTCATACTCGATACCCACGATTCTACCAAGCGCCAATTCTGTCTTCTAGCCAAGATGATGGGTTGGGTCGGCGGAGAAGAGACGTGGAATGACCACTGGCATGAGTGCTTCGGCGAGGTCTACATCTGGCGCGCTTTCGGTGAGTAGACAGTGTTTGACTTTACAACAAAACTGACAGATCCCAGATTCTCTGTCAACTTCCCATGAGGCAGATGCCAATGCTGTCCCCGATGATGCTACTGGTACTTCGGTGTCAAATGCTACGCCCACTCCAAGCGACAGTGGCGGCGTTCGTGCGAGCGACATCTGGTATCAGTTTGAGGGCTTCTTCCCCGACCATACGGCAAGTTTCAACAATGAGTTCTGGAGATTGTGCAAACACATGCGCTGGAGTCGTGAAGAGCGCCGCGAGGCCAGGATTGAGATCTTCGATGCCGATTGGGAAGCCCACATGGGCAGCGACCTGGGTAGCCTGGCTCGTTGGCAAGACTTCTGTCGCCTTTGCAGCCTCGATATAATCCCAGATAGTATTCCTGGCTGCATGGAAGTATGTTACTCTCCTCTTTGTCATGACACTCAGTTACTGACACGTATTCAGGTACTTGCGGAGGTTTTGGTCAACATCTACGATCTCCTTGACTCGCAGCGAACAGGCTCTGACGTGTTTGTCTTCCAAGATTTCAAGGAGTTCAGGAAATACACCTTAAATGGTCGCAGATATCCCCTTGACGAAGCGAAGGGAGACACATTCTTGCCCATCTTTCTCAAGGAAGTACTCTGAAGGCACAGGCATCAAGATGATTCGCTGCGGCCAGGCGAGAGTACCTAGCTCGTCACGCTGAAGTCTTATCATGGTTTGATCTACCCTTGACTTCGTACAAGAGAGATCGGAGGCTTTGTTACTTCAAGCGGTATTCTGAAGGGTCTCATCTACCTATGGAAGATTGTGCTATGCCGGATAATGTTCAGGGATCTTTCTTCCTAGGTAGAATTCAGTAGCTCTTCACGTTAACCCAGGGCTTCTATTTACTCTCTCTCCCTGCTATGCATATGCATACATGCGGCACAGTTGCTCCACCGTGCAGCAGGCACTCAATGCGATCGAGGCTCATTCGATGTTCAAACCCCAAAGCCACCACCCACATCATTGGAGCCTATGCAACTATGCCTGTAGAGAATACTGGCAGAATGTTCCAGCTCGTTGCCGACGTGGCGCCAGGGATCTCGGGTCTTCCACGTCCTCAATGGTCCGATTGTCTGCTCATCTCGGTTTGCTGCAGCTTCCCATATGCACCCACGTATCGATTTAAGGAGTCCTGGGTTATTTCCACCACCCTAGAACCTCACTTACCTTCCTAGACTATCCGCCATGTCCGGTCATCATACCGGCCGCGCCCGTGAGTAAAGTTTGTCGAAATCTTATGCTACACACTCTAACTGACCTGTTTAGACACCGCAGCCTCTGCTGCGAACCCAAACAGTTCAACTGCCCAGGATACAAGTCAGGCTGCCGTGTGGTTCCTGAAGTTTGCACTCTTCGCATGCGACACAAGCGCCAGCACCAGGAGTAACTTCGATCGTCTCGCCTCAAAGCGCAACTGGGGTGATAAACTCCGAAGAAAGCAGTGGACCAGTTTGCAGGCAGTCTTAGCGGCGTCAAACCATGCTGACGCGGACGATAATGTTGATACCGACACCCCAAACCAGGGCGGCGCATGGTTCCAGCAGTTCGACAATTTCGTACACGATCCAACGGTCGGAATCAGGAGCAATTTCGAGCGTCTAGCAGCACAACGCAGCTGGGGCAACAGACTGAAACAGAGGCGTTGGGCTGAATGCCAGGAGGAGGAATTCGGCTATGCATATGGAACGAATACAACAAAGCTAGAGATCTGGCAGAGGCTATGTCGTGAGGTGCACATCAGCGATCCACCAGACAGTATAACACAGTGTAGACAGGTAAGGAGAGTTGCAAGCGATGCAAAGTCTGCTGCTAACCGTGATGAGGTGCTTGGCAGCCGGAACGTCCTGGTGAATTTGATCAACCTTATTGACCATCGTAACATCGGTGTGGAGGTGATCCGATTCAAAAGCTACTCCAAGTTCCGAGCGTACACCACATTGCCGGGCAATATGTTTCCGCTGAAGAAGGCCAAGGAAGATGGCTTCATCAGGGCGTTGTTAAGGAAGTTGTGATCGAGGCCGGAGGAATCCGCGTGGGCCGTAATTGCACTTGCAAACAGAAGCAATATCAGGGGTTACAACACCAGATCCGTGCAACGGGAAAATGGGACTAAAAGATAGTTGCTTATTTGTATGAGTCAGCCGCCGCTTGGCGACACGTAAACATTGTATTTACACTTTCCAGCCGTTTCTTTTCTTGGTGTGCACAACAGTCCCAACGTCGCTCTTGGTTAGTGTAGCGCGTACTCCGGAAACCACCTGGGCACTATTGGCGACTGCCGCAGTTCCGCGCACTACTGACCCTGCAAGATGGTTCGCGGAAGTCGCGCTAGTGAGTAGCGTACATAAACAAGCAATAGCGATATGCTCACATTGAACAGAGGGAGGCGTCTCTATTGTATCTGAAGCTGTAGCAACTGCCTCTGCTTCCTCGAGCGACCGTAGCACTCCTCCTCCAAGCGACGACGGTTCCTCTGATGAAGTTCGTGACTACTTCTCGCAAGAGAAGTTTAATGGATTTGTCCCAGATCCCGAGGACGATCTCATAGCGAAACTCAGCAAGCTTTCGATCCACCAAGGTTGGTCCAAGAACGAAGCGAAGCGTCGTCGCGCGGAGGTTGTTGAGTTCGAGGTGTCTCGACACTACGGCCGTGACAAGTCGAAACTGGAAAACTGGCAGAAGCTGTGTCGTGATGTCAAGATCGAGCCTACGCCGCCTTCTATAACACAGTGCAAAAAGGTTACACTTTTTTTCCCGGTCGCATAGCTCTGCTGACGTATCCTCGTAGGCTCTTTCACGCGTCTATGTCAACATCTTCAACATCCTGGACCATCTAGACAACCCCGAGCGCTGCGATGTCATTGTCTTCAAGAACTACAAGCTCTTCCGTGCATATACGCTGAAGAGCCGCATCTTCCCTCTGGATCTGGCTAAGGAGGACGGCTTTGTCAAGGCTCTGCTTCGCCCCCTCTACATGAAGAGGAAGTAGTAGCAGCATTGGCGCTTCAGGAAACTGGGATGCAATGGGTATTTGGATTGTTGGATGGAGTTCTTGGTGGCCTTGTAATGCTTCTTTCTTGACTCGTTTTCGTCTGGGTGGCGTGAGTGGGGATGTAAGCAAAGGCGCGGCTATCCGGCTGCGAGGGCGCAGGTGACCTGGACACCATCCTTGATGGGATTGCACGTCCACGCAGTAGTTAGAGTCGCTGATCTAAACGATGTTGGTGTAATATGTTTGGAGACGCATGTGAAGTCAGGACTAGTAGGCGAGATGTTCGGAGGCCTTGCCCGTCACAGCCGTAGTGCAGCTTAGCGAGGCCTAAACAAAGCTCACCCCGTGGTATCCCCCGCTCTGCACAACTCACCCGTATCGTCGATCTGCTGGTATATCCCTCAAGGCAAACAACCTTCACCATGCGCTGCCGGTCGCGCTTACCCCAGGCGGCGAAGGCAATGTGGCCTTGCGCGCCCCTCCATCCCCCGTAGAAGCTGCAACGAACAACTCAGCAACCCTCGCGACCAAACACGAATCCCAACGCATACGATGCAGCAGGAGAATGAGCGCATGAAGCTCAAAGATGGCCGCACCCTCTCCTACGCCATCTACGGCAGCCCGATGCCACAGAAGACGATAGTCTTCATGCATGGCTGCCAATCCTCGCGCTACGAAGGCAAGCTATGGCACTCGGCCTGCGCCCTACACAACGTCCGTATTATCGCGCCCGACCGTCCTGGCAGCGGCCAGTCGACCTTCCAGATCAATCGTCGCATCCTCGACTGGCCTAACGACGTGCTCGCCCTGGCAGACCACCTCAAGATCCACAACTTCTACGTACTGGGCGTATCGGGAGGCGCGCCCTATGCACTGGCTTGCGTCAAGGAGGTGTCGAGGGACCGTCTGCTGGGAGCCAGCATCGTCAGCGGTCTCTATCCAGTCAAGTTCGGCACAGCTGGCATGTTGCTGCCTTCGCGCATCGTCCTCTGGGCAGCGCCGTGGGTCAACGGGCTGACCACCACGCTGTTCGAGAGCACCATCGGTAAGCCAAGTCGCGATGACGACCCGAAAGTCCTCGAGGACATCATTGCCAAGGAGATCCGGAGCCGTCACCCCGCCGACCAAGAAGCTATCCACGACACCACCAACTGGCCCATCTACGTAGCCATGACTAGAGAATCGTTCCACCAGGGAAGCGAAGGCGCAAGCTGGGAAGCCAAATTGAGCGGCAGCGACTGGGGCTTTGAGCTTGGACATCTATACGTTGGAGAGAATGGAGTACCGCTTACCTTGTGGCATGGTCAGGA